AATGATCCTCTGAGTGCAGAAAAGGTCCATTCCTGTATGCAGGAAAGGTGGCAAAGGGGCCAGGAAGTCCTCTTGGGTTACCAGAGGAATGAAAGAGTGCTTAAAAAAAGAAAATGAGACTTATGGACAGTGGAAACAAGGGGTAGTCACCAAGGCGTAATACACAAGGATAGCTTGTATTTGTAGGGAAAGAATAAGGAAGGCAAGGGAGCAACCGAGATCAGGTTGGTGACCAAAATCAAGGACAATAAGAAGCCTTTCTTTAGGCATATAGGGAGCAGGAGGAAGACCAAGGGAAATGGGGGCCCTTGTAGAATGGGACAAGGCAGCTGATAACAGAGTCAGGGGAAAGCTGATCTCTTTAATGAATAGTTTGCGTCCGTGTTCCTGCGGGCAAGTGGTGGTCACCCACCTGGTCAGATAGTGGAAAGATGGGGGAGTGGTGATTGCCAACCAATGGTCAGTGTGAGGGAGCACTTGGAGCAGCTGAATGTCTTCAAGTCGGCAGGACCAGATGAACTACACCCAAGAATGGTGAGGGAGTTGGCTGGAGTCATTGTGGGACCATTGGCAAAGGTATTTGAAGACTGGTGGTGCTCGGGAGAGGTCCTGGAAGACTGGAAAGGGCCAGTGTGCTGCCAACCATTAAGAAGGGGAGGATCTATAGGCTGGTCAGTTTGACCTAAATACCAGGTAAAATTTAGGAAAAAATTATCAAAAAGTCCATTAGTGAGAGATTGGCAGAAGACATGCTGCTGAAGTATAGCCAACCTGTGGGCAGGTCATGCCTGAGCAACCTTGTCTTTTTCTATTATCAAGTGACAAACTGCTTAGATGTGGGAGACATGGTTGATGTCATATATCTGGATTTTAAAAAGGCCTGTGATACGGTCTCCCATGATGGTCTTATAAAAAAAACAGGGATTGTGGGCTGTCAGAGTCCACAGTCAGGTGGGTTGGGAACTGGCTAAGGGGTCGAACCTAGAGCGGGTTAGTGGATGGGTCTGTATTGTCTTGGCAGGAGGTGGCCAATGGTGTCCCACAGGGTTCGGTCCTTGATGCTAGCCCTACTTTTGTATCTGCCTTAGCTTTCCTAACAGCCCCTCTACAACCCCGAACGATGGAAGTATACTCCCCTTTGGTGATAGCCCCTCCCTTCCACTGGGTGTACGCCTCTTTTTTGGCTTTCAGGCGTTCCTGAATGCCTTTAGTGAGCCGGGGGGCTTTAGAGCACTTTTGCCCCCTTTGATTCTCATTGGGACTGTCACCCCTTGGGCATGGAGGATTGTCTCCTTAAGGAACGCCCACTTGTCTTGGACACCTAGTTCCCCTACTCTCCAGGACCCCAGTGCCTCTCCTACCAATCTCCTCAACTCGTTGAAGTTGGCCCTCTTGAAGGCAAGGGCTACTGCCTTGCTGCAGGCCTTTGCCACCCTGTGCTGGATGGTGAATTCTAGTATGCGATGGTCGCTATCGCCCAGGTGGTCGAGGACCTGGAGTCCCCTCACCAGGTCATCACCTGTGGCCAGAACCAGGTCCAGGAGGACATTCCCCCTGGTGGGACTGTGCACCTCCTGGGTTAGGTGGAGGTCCTGTATCTCGGCCAGGAACCTCCGTGAGCGGTCTGACCTGGCTGACTGCTCCTCCCAGCAGATGTCTGGGTAATTTAGATCACCCATAACAACTACATCCCTTGCCTGAAGAGAATTCCCGGTCTAGCTCTTCCCCTTGGTTGGGTGGTCTGTAATAGACCCCCACCATTAAGTCCCTTTCCCCATGACTCCCTTGTATTCTGACCCAGAGCACTTCAGCCTGCCCCTCCTCTGTTCCCATCCTGTTAGTTGAGGACGTGTATTGCTCTTCGATGTAGAGCGCCTTTCCCCCGCCTTTCTCCCCAGTTCTATCCTGCCTCTATAGGCTGTAGCTCCTAATGTTTACCGCCCAGTCATGGGATGAGTCCCACCAGGTTTCTGTGAGCCCCACTATGCCTGGGTTTGTACTAGCTGTCCAGAGGGTGAGTTCCTCCTGCTTATTTCCCATGCTACGAGCATTAGTGTAAAGGCATTTAAGGCCTTGTATTAGTGCATGCACCACCCCCTGATTCTTAGGATTATCCAGACACCTGTCACTTACCTGGGTACTCCTTGTGCTTGTCACCTGTCTTGGTTGAGAGGTGTCCTCCGGTAGCCCCATCCCTCAGTGAAGCTAGTTTAAAGCACGCCATACGAGATCAGCCAACCTGGCCGTACAAGATCAGCCAACCTTTATGGTAAGGGTGTCCAGAATCTGGAATAGATTCCCAAGGAAGTGGTGCAGGCCCTCAACCTTGGAAGTCTTCAAGAGACTTCTGGACAGACACCTTGCTGGGATCATTTGATCTCAACAGTATTCCTGCCCAGAGCAAGGGGGTCGGGCTCGATCTTTCATGGTCCCTTCCAGCCCTTCATTTCTATGATTCTATGATTTAACCAGTTTTAGCTAGAAGGTTTCCCACAGATTGCTAATCTCTCTGTAGAGGAATGATCCTACTTCTAAACTGGTGTCAATCAGTGAATTAGTACAATCACTCAGATGTAAAACCATTGGCAGGCTCTGGTAAAATCCCATCTCTCACTCAATACATTGGGGTTAGGATTTTGCCTTAGGAAGCCTGTCAGTCTCTTGCCTAGAGACTTCGGCAGCCACCACTACCTTTTTGCTGACTTGTCTTCCTGATGTCTCTGTCCTTTCTTTAGCGGCCTTTTTTTCCTGTCTTGCTGACCTTCTCATTCAGCCCTTACCTCTGAGAAGAAGATAAGAGAAAAAGTCATGTGGATCAGATGTTATTCGTGTCACATAGGCTGCACTTAGATACATCAGAGAGAGATAAGGACCTCAATAGAATAGAATAGAATTTGCTCCCCTGGATTGACGTCGTCTCTCACAGCTGCATGCAAGAATGATGAATTCCAGCTGCAGCAGATGCAGAAGAGAGTTCGTAGGATGCTAATGGGAATGGAGAGTTGATTTTATGGGAGGAGACTAAAAGAGCTTAGTTTCTTTAGCCCAGCGATTCTTAACCAGGGTTCATGAGATCCTTTGAAGGATGATGCAGGAAGGGTGAGAAGATAAGTGAGGTGTGAGGAGATAACAGATAAGAGCAGTCTCAGGCTCTCTGTGCCCAGTGGCTCCCCTGTGCCCACTGCTTGGCCCATCTGTAGGGCAGCAAGCATTGTAATAAAGAAATTAGTTTTTTTGCAGTGGGATGCTGCTCAATTCACAAAAATTATGAGGGGTGTCTTGAGTTGAAAAAAAACTTGAGAACTACTGGTTTAGCCTAACGAAATGACATGATTGCTGTGTCTTAGAAACACTACTGGTATAGTAGTGACTACTAGGAGTATCTTTATAGGCCTGTGGCCAGTGGTACATTTATCCACGGCCATGCTATTAGCTTGCCAGCTATTCTGGGTAGAAGTGGTGTCTGTTTGTTTTATATCCTACTGAAGTTTAGGTCCTATATAAATAATAATACTTTTTCCCATTAAGAGTACATTGTTATTTTAGTTCTTCTTAGGATGGGAGAGGTAAATGCCATATGCTGTCTAAACATAGAAAAATACAGGTGGTAATTTCCAGGGGAAATTTTCACACGAGGACATAAATTGCAGCCCCAAAGTTTGACCAGAGGTACCGTAATCAAACTAAAGCCAGGTCTGTATAAAGCAGGGCTCAGCATACCTGCAAGGCAGGAAGGGTGGTGACATTACTTGCCTGTGCTTATAGGGCAGGAACCCAGGCCACTACCCTGAGGTGTAAGGCATTGCTATGGGGGATGCCTGATCACAGTCCCTTGAAAGGAAATAATAAAACTCCCTCTGACATTAGTATTCCATCACTGGGCCTTTATGCAATGTCATTTGTGCAGGTGTTTGCATACATCTTCTTGCATATATGTTCCACGTGCAGCAGCGGGAGTGGGTTTCAGACTGCATGCATCCCTAGATAGCAGAAGAGACCCCATCGGCTGGCTGCCCTCTGTCTACTTTGTGTTTTTATCTTGGGTGGAGGCTTCTTAGGTTGATGTGACTACCATTGACATTAGCAAAGAACCAAGTCCAGGTGGCAACCCCCAGTATTGTCCTTTAGGCCCCTTGATAGCAGCCTCAGTTGGGAGGTGGAAAAGTGAGCAGGCCAGGAAAAAGGAACTCCCATTCCCTAGTCACGGTTCTTTTGGAACAGTTACAGGGTTGCATCGTGCGGGAAGTTTGGCTGCCGTGGGTTATGCTGGAGAAATGTAGGGGCTCAATCTTTGGTGCAATCAACTGGGCACCCTTCCTAGCACAAATGTTATTTTTAATGACCGGATGGTGCTATACAAGGGTACCGTCCAAAGGGAAAACTATCTAGGTGTACATAGTCAATAGCTAATGGATCCAGCATGTTGTGCTCATGAACAGGCAGCATTATTCATAGGACGAGCTTGTCAGAAATTTTCCAGTGAGACATTTTTCCATCAGGTGGTGTTGTCTTGTTCAAAACAAGTGGAAACTTGTTGCTGTGATGAAAATTCATTTTGAAAGAAAAATTGAGGGGAAAAAACATTGTGATAAGGTCAAAATATTCCATTGTGACATTTTCGGAATGGAGGATTGCCGTTTTTCATTTTGAAATGCCTTTTTGTTTCCATTTTTTTAAAGAATGTTACATTATAGAAATTAAAGAAGTCAGTCAGAAATGGAACAAAACATTTTCATTTTGCATGAACCAAATGTTTCAACTGACCCGAAAGAGCTTGGGTTTGGGTTTTGTTTAGTGGGAAATTTCAAAGCTTCCTGAGTTCGTTTCATTGAAATGTGAAACACTGTTCACCACAGTGAAACAAAATACCCTGTTTCCCTAAAGCTCTCTTTCCGATGTTTTCTAGATTGGTTGTGCACTGCAAATGAATTCCTCTATGCTGCTTTTTACTTTAGCACTTAACACATTGCTCTCTCTTCTTTTATTTCTTTTCCTTAAAGGAACAGTATCATTTCTGCTATGACATGGCACTGGAATATCTGGAGTCCCTGGAGACCAGATAGCACCTTACCCGGAGATCGAAGGCAAGTGTTTGTTTAGGGTTTGTGCCCAGCATGCATTTTGCACTGGGACTCGAGTCAGTGCTAATGGCGAGAGGTGGTGGCGGGGAGGGGGACAATAACAGGTGGAATCAAAACACTGAAATAAAAAAAGAAAAGGCAGGATCTAGGGACGTGTCAGCCATTCTCAATCTTCATCCTGCTGCTTTCCCTCTTCCCACCTTCCTCCCACCCCAAGGCAGGAGCAGAGGTGACACAGACTGGTTGCCAGAATTACAGAACTCATTCTGTTACCTCATCGATGCCTCCGTGACACCTTGAAACACAAATGCGTGGACCTTGGTAAGCAAGTGAGATTCACCTGTGACCACCCATGGTCATGTCTGGACACATCCAAAGCATGAAATGGACCTGAGCTGAAGAAGTGACAAAGAGGAGGAGAGAAAGATGAAATCAGGCTTGTTTGTGAGCAACGGCCATGAAAGAGATGGACTTGGTGGGGGTTTTAACTGTATTTTAAGTCTAAGCAGCTTTTCAGAGGAGCCCAGAAGGATCTGGGCAGGTTTTGCCCTGTGTGGAGACAGGTGTCTTGCTGGAGTAAACACACTAAAGGGAGTTGTATAATTTTCAGCCTATTTTATTCATGAGTTTGATGTTTGCTAATCAATGGCAGCTCTCAGATAGGGGTGGAAGGGTCCCATCTTTGGTGTGTACAAGTTCCAGTCCTTGCCAACATCCAGCCCTTTGATAGACGAGGAAACGAGGAATCCAGGTTGCATTAAATGTCAGAGAGGTACACAAGCTGTTCCTGGCTGTGCATCCTTGCAATGTAAGGTGTCCTGCCAGTATTTTCAAAGGTGACTTCATGATTGTGAGTGCCTTAAGGCAGTTTTCCTTTTTTTCAGGTGTGCTTAAGATTAAATATCTTAAAATCTTAATATCTTAAAATCACCTGGTTTTCTGAAGGGGGTTCTCAGTGTTTTTTGACTGTTGGGCGTGTTTGCGGTATCTCGAGGTACATGCCCAAGAAGAGAAACCCTCTGAATCACCTAATCACATTTGAAGATCTTGTCCTTTGCTCACTCAGCTTCAAGGCCTCCTACAAAAATGCTCACTTGGCTAATGACGGCTGCTTCACTGAGTGTACGCCATCAGGTGGCCAAGCAGAAAGACTTGATTCATCATGAAAAGACACTGCAGGCAGGTGGGAGTGAGCAAAATGTAGTCAGTCACAGCTGGAATGGATGCCTTCAGAAATAACTACAAAATAGTGTGGAGTAAAGGCCCAAATGCAGCTTTCAGTGAAAGTCCAGAGTAAGCCCACTGAAATCTATCAGCCAGATCAGACCTTCAGTTATAATATGGCAATTTCTTTCAAATCACCAGGATAAAATCTGTTCTCAGTGATGCCAGTGCAAATCCCGAGGAATTTCCTGATGCTGCGAGCCAGTACACCGATGTGAAGCTAGATTTCTTTAGGTGAAATCCCTGACAAGTTTTTAGTCATCAAGGTGGATTTCACTGCTCTGAAATGAGGACTAGGACCTACCCAAAAATGTAAGAACACCTTTGGGGGTCCAAGTCTCGGAGCAGGAAAGTAGGCAGGGGTACTTGGAAGAGTGGCTGACACACAAGTGGTCAGCGCCGTTGCCTCAGGTGGTGGTTGTGACCTGCACTGAGCTGGAAGTGGAGAGAAGAGATGAGCTGTGGAAAGCTGAGTGACAAGAAGTCTCAGCCATGTCTGAACACTGCGTCTTCTTGACTTCCTGCCAGGGCTTGTGGTGGGTGAGTCCAGGCTAATGGACTCAACATTTTAGAGCGTCCAAGGGCTTGCTGGGTTGATGCCACCTATTGACCAGGAGGCAGAGGTCACTTCATCTTCATCGTGACAAGTACATGGGTTCCTTCCCCCAGGAAAAAAGCCCAGCTATAATCTTAATTCTTGACATAACCTGCAGAAGAGTTTCTCCACTATCACTCTGCCATGACTTTTAGCTGTGGACCCAGAATCCCTTGTGTTTCACTGTTGCCCTTGGCAAGTATTAAATTAGGATCTGGTTGCATATGCCTGACAGCCAGTTTGACTTGGACTTAGAACAGAATTAGCTGAAGCCCAGTAGTTTATCTGTAGCTTGTTTTTAATGCTTATGGACGAGCCAGTCAAAAGATGAGTTGCCATCCCATATGGTGAGCCCATTTCCTCTGATGATGAGCACAGATGGTGCTATGCTCCATCACATATCTGAGTTCCCACTCAGCACCACAAATGGCTATAAGAAGCAGCGGCCAAAGTGACAGAAGCCTGGTGTCTGACACCATAAACTCAGAGAGCTAGAGGGCTGCTCCCCTCTGTCTCGAGGACCAGGCTATGCCCTAGCGGCAATTGTGTCTTGGCAGGAAGAGCTCAGAGGCAAAATTCTCCTCTTTGCCTTCTGGTGTTGTGCACAGCCATTTCCTCCTGATGGCTCCATTCATTATCTATGGCCAGACTGCTGTTTTCCTACAGCCCCATGTGGTAGCTCTTTCACCAAGTCAGGCACATTTATTCCCTTGCATCTTTTCTCACTTAACCCATCCAGCTCAGCCAATGAATCGTTCACGCTGGTCTTTGCCCACCTTCCTCTGTGTCAGTGCCTTGTCAGTAGGGACAAGCTCCAAGCCCATGGCAATAAGTTCAGTTTTCCAGAGCTTCAGTGCATAAGTCCTAGGTGAGATAGTAGTGCCTTTTGACTGCTTCCAGGATGCATGCAAAATTCAGCAGTTAAATGGAGAAGCTCCTAAGTGCAAGCGCTTGGCCTTCCATACACTGAGTTGTTGTCTCTCATACCAAAGCCAACCCCAGGCCTGCTGCTGGCTCTGTAAGCTGTGTTTGTTCCCTTTCCTTTCCCAGCAGGGGATGGGGCCACAATATGCATCACACATCCAAGAAACAAGAGTGCTCTCAGCATATTTACTAAAGGGAAGTTCATCTCCTGTGTGCAACAAGGCAGGAGTATGGGGCCAAGTGCAAGGAGAGGATGGTAGGGCTTTATGCTCAGCCTCCTTGTCCACTGGGTCCTCTCAAAGTGCCTGCACTCCACAAGGTGTAGATAGAGCTAGTTGGGAAATTATATTTTTGAGGAAAAAGATGCTCCTTTGAGGCTTTTCTACAAGCCATTTAAGGGTGGGTGCTGCACAGGAGATATCTCCTGGGTATCTGCAAGGAGGGTGCAGATACCTAGGAAGGAAGAGGAGATACTTAGGCGGCCACAGCAAGTTCAAACTGAATAGCAGGGCATTTTCCAACCCTGAGGCCCGTTGGATGTGAGCAGTGTCTCAGGGGGAGGTTCTATAAATGCTATCTCATTGCCATGCAGAATCTACTCGGCCTAATAAATTGCTTATGAAATCAAAGAAGTGATATCCAGGATGAGCTTAGCCCTGTGTTTGGAGCAATCTTAAATCAGTCTCCATTGGGTGGACCTGAGTGACACAAGAAGTCTTTGCTATTGCTGTCACTGATTATTCTTGACTTGCTCCATCCATCTTTGTATTAAACATGTTTGATACTTATCTGGGTGCATGTTCCACTCTCTCTATCTGAACACCTGCTTTTTTCAGTACTAACTTTGGTATCAGTTCCTAGTATAAGCAGTGATTTGAACATCAGCAAGTGTCTCTGCTCCCGGCATCACCATCTTTGTGTTTGAATCCCAGTGACAACGCGTTCAATCAAGTCAGTTCCTACTTGAGGAATCCTGCTAAGGTCTCTGGGCAGATTGTGCTATGTTAAGGTCCATGGTCCAGATCCTGTTCTCAGTGCCAATAGTGATGAATTTGGAGTAACAATTGAGTCATTGTGCTTAGTATTGGATTTCATACTGGGTTAATTGAGAGCAGAATCCGTTCCTCTGCCTTGGGTGAAGAAGCCCAAAAGCAATGCTCAAACTTCATGAGTGGCATTTTTTGCTATTGATTGACTTTGATGGGGCCAGGATTCCTCCACAAATGCTTGGCTTTTCCAACTTCTTTGTGAATATTTCACGCAAGCCTAATGATAACATACACCAAGGGCTATACAATCATCCCCTTCTGCTTCCCTTCCTGCCCTGTTACTACAATTAAAACCCTCTTGTCTAGTGACTGAATATTCTTTTTATCCCTACCAGAGCGTGGAAGAGTGTACAATGAATCCTTCCAGTTTGGGGTAACACGTGTGCCTATATTAGAAGGTGGTCTTTAAATAAAAGTGTCTTTTTCCTGATTTTCTTTTCAATCAAAAGGCATATTAATGTCCCCTCTTTGTGCAGCCCCTTGACAGGTGTGCTGTGGAAGAGGAGGGCTCATACGCACTGGAGTGGTATTGAAGCGGTTCTTTCTAAAGGCCCAAGTTAAGAGAAATAGTACAATATGTGATGGGCACTATGTCGGTCACAGGACTGGTGAGGTGCTTGTTTGTAGAGAGCAGAGATGGCAATTACCTCCACAAGTGTAGGCAGGGGATCTCTTAAGGGTAACAAGGAATTGGGGATGAAACTCTGTAGGATGTTGAGTATGGAAAAGAAGAAGGAACTACCAAAACTTTCATGAACAACACACCACATTTGACCTGTCATAACCAGGAAACCTTTTTTAACATTTTTTTTTTTTTTAAATTTGAACTGCCTTGCTTCTTCCCAGTGCTTCCATTTGGTACATCCATCTTGGTTTGTTTGTGCAACAGTGCCAGTCAATTTATTCTGACCAAAGGGAGGAAGAAAAATCTGCAGAAGGGTTTTCCACTGACTCTTTCTGATGCTCATAGGTGAAGTGGGACCAGAAAGGCATGCAAAAAAATAAAATCAAAACCCATTCAGTCCTGTGGAGAAAATAGAAGCTGGATGATTTGTATATAAGTTTTAAAAGCAAGATTTTTGATATCCCCTTGCTGGACATCTCTGAATTTTCAGTGCATCTCTCGAGAAGGGCAAGCTTTAAAATCAAAGTGCTATAACAACCAACCAATTTTCTGCTCCTATTG